GGGGGGGGGGGGGGGGGGGGGGGGGGGGGGGGGGGGGGGGGGGGGACATAACGACAACGCAGTTCAAGGCTCTTAGTCACGCTTGAGATACCTACCTCAACATCGCCATCGCCATCGTCCTAGCGCACCGAGAACATGGGCGTCGAGAGAAAACCGCGCCCGCATTCCCTCGCGAAACTTCTCCAGGCGACACCACGCACACACAGAGGAGTAGGCCATGCCCCGATACCTCCGGCCGTCCCCGCTGCAAGCAGCAAGCAACAAGTCCCACGACCAACGGTTCCAAGAGACCACGCCCTTTCCCCCCGCCCCATCTCCCACTACCGCTCCCTGCAACCACGGCACAGGCCCTGAACCAGGCCTGGCTTCAAAACAAACAAGCCGCCCCGCCCCGGCCTCAGCACATGCGTCACCCCCAGAAAGAGGGAGAAAAGGTGGCCGCAGTTTTCTGATTGGCCAAAAATCCCTGGTCGACGTATGATGTCATCCACGACGGGTTCACGTTTTTTCTAGAAACATCCAAATATTTCAATCTGACCGTAGATTGTATGCTGTTGTTGTGTGCCCGCTGATTGATGTTTGGTCACATTTGATGTACATCTAATCTCAATCTTTGTTCAGGTGTTGGTAAGTGAGTACAACACGAAAAACCAACTGCTGCAGCATACGCTAGGGGTAGCCTGTGTGACTTTCTACCGTGATGAAAAGTCCATAAATGTATACACAACAGAGACCACATCATCGAGCTACACACAGCAGCTGGCAGCTGCCAGCAGCAGCAGTTGAATATTACTTCTACATCAACATAACCATCGGGTGTGTGTGTACTACTACGCTCACGACGTACGCGTACACACTCCTATAACCGTGTACTTCTGCTGAAACTATACATGGTACGACTTTTACTGGTGTTGTAGCATGTGTGTACAGCAGTACCTCCTGTCGATCCTGCTTGAACCGGTACGCTTCATTCGACATCGGACAGACCATTCCGGCAAAAAACAGTCTGAATGACCAATGGTCCAACGCAGAAGGCCAAGACTCCCCCCCCCCCCCCCCCC